GAATTTGGCCAATCGTGAAACAGCTGTGTCGTCATCAGCGCTCTGAAAAAGCTGATATCAAGAATTAACATTTTAACTAGTAAAAACTGAATTGTTGATATCAAGAATTCATATCCTGAGAATGAATAAAAGTCAAAACGGCTTGCCACAGGAATGCGCCCGGGGCGGTTAAACTCTAACTGTTACCAGATTCCCACACAGGACACTCCTACCGATTTGCAGCTCTGTCACACGGCTAAATCCTCAATTTTCAATGGAAACATCCACCATATTAATGAAACTGTGAGTATGCTATGATCTTTCTGTGTGAAGAATATTATCTTTGTTAAAATTGCGAAAATAACGCAAGCTTTACGCGATTTAAAGCTTGTTTTACTTATACAAAGTCGTTGTTTTTCTGTAAACGATGTTGTTTTAAATCCCAATACATCCGTTTTCTCCTTTCGCTTTACAATAAAAGTAACTATAATCCACATGCAAGAGGCGCGCGAGCGTTTTTTGTTGACAGTCATCCTACTATTTTTAACAGGCGCCTAAGATTACTATTTTGTCAAACATTGCGTTATAGTTGTTGATAAACATTTTCCACTGCTTTTTGGTCGATGTTTTTTTCTAAGTAACGTTATTGTTGAGATGAAACCAAAATCTTGAAAGCGCACAGACAGATTTGCATCTAACTTTACAGCGTCTCAGTCTAATTAAGTAGCCTAATACCTTGCAGCAACACTATGTCTGATCCTTTAGGTCCTGGAGACACTGGCCAGGTAAAATAAATGTGAAGAGTCTGTCTCTCTCCCTACACTTTCCTGTCCATTCTCCACTATCCTGCAAACAAAATCAATACATAACAAACATAAAAAAACACTTTTTAAACTCTTTGTGACAGAACCATGCTAAGCGACATTAGAACAATCTAGTGATTGTAACTGGTGTACATTGTAAGTAATATTAATGGTTTGTTGTTTCTGACTAAAGGGCTACATCGCTGGTTATCCACCTCATCCAGATCAAGGTCAGATTCACTATCCTTATCCACCAGAGTCGAGCGGACAACCTGCTGTTCCTCCCAACCCTGTAAGTTTACATAGATAGAGATTTACCACAGATCCTTCTATCCAAAGTGACAAATAAGGAATGTTACAACACAAGAAGTTCATCCTAAGGTCGCAGCAACTTTCAAAACTTTTGAATACAAGTTCCAAATTGCTTAAATGGCTCTAGTGCAGCAGAATGGGAAAATAATGCAGAGTTAATTCGAGCGCCATGATTTTGGAACACTATGTCATGTGTGAACAACACTGCAAGAGCAACTCACAAAGGCGTCCATCTAATGCATGTTTACATAGAAAAACTATATAAAAACAAGCAGTGGAAAGGTCTAAACATGTTATGTGTGCACGGTCCCCAAGACGGAGAAGAATTCTGGTTTGGATTTTAGCTGGTGGACCAGTATAGACATGCAAAACTTAATAAACCAGTACAGAGTTTATTTATCAATCAATTTTGTGCATTTTCTCTTTTTAAGGGCTTTTATCCTGAGTATCAAAACCCTGTCTACCCTCCTGCCTTTGGACCTGGACTTCCCCCTGCTCAGCCGCCCCAGTGGAATGCCCCTCCAACCCACTACAACCCATCTGCACCTGTGGTACATCCAAAATCTTTTGCAAATCTCTTTGCTTTTCATCCTGTGGGTTTATATTTCTATGTGCTTATTTGTAATCAAAGATAGCAAGCAAATATGTAAAGGATAAAATGAAATTCAAATGCATGAATTGCTCTGAAAGGGGCAACACAAAGTTAAAGAGATTGATAATTCTGACATTTGTTCACCTTCAAGTTGTTCCAAACATGTATGAGTTTCTTTCTTCTGCTGAACACAAAAGAAGATATTTTGAACTATGTTGGTTAGCAAACAACTGACAGTAGTCACTGACTTCTATAGTATGGAAAAGAATACTATGGGAGTCAATGGCTACTGTCAACTATCAAAATATTATTTTTGTGTTGAACCGAAGAAAGAAACTCATACAGGTTTGGAACAACTTGAGGGTGAGTAAATGAAGACAGTATTTTAATTTGTGGGTGAACTACCCATTAAGTGTTTTTGCATAAAAAAAATTGCAATTCTACTAATATTTGTCTTTCTATTTTTTTTTATTAATAACATACATTTACTACATATGATTTATTCATCGTTACTGTCTTTCAAATTCAAAGTTGCTTGCATTGAAGTATCCAATACAGTTTTTAACTGTCCAGTCATTCAGTAACAGCCACTTCGCATTACATTTGAACATTTTTTCAAACAAATTGCAGAAAATGTGCCACGCATTGCTGAAAATGATTGTTAGAAAAAGTAAAGCTTTATACCTGACACATTTCATATTCCCAGTGTCTCTCTGTGTCTCACACTCTTACCTGTCTTTTTTCTAGTCTCAACCGTCTGATAGGACCAGCATTTCTATGGATATCCTTAACTCCAGTGACTCTGGTGTCAAGTTTGACGTGAACAAAGGAAAGTCTTCTGGCAGCAACTTCCTGTAGTTACTCCAAATTCCTGAATTATCCCTGCACGTGATGTAGAAACAAACACTTGTTTGTTAGATTCATACAAAATCTAAGCCTTAAAAAGAATATTAAATAATATTATTATTAAATGATAATAATTTTGGCCTTAGAACTAATAGGACCTTAATTAAAACTACTACTTAAATAGTTTATGATGAGACATATTCTTAAAGGACTCAGTCAAGCTTAAGTGCTATAGAAGGATATTACAATTAGAAGAAAACAAAAAAACAAATCCCTTTATATATTACATACTGTACAGTACCTGTAATATGTTCATACACCGCTTGAGTAGCAATATTGTGTTCAGTTTTAACTCTTTCTCTTCCATTTAGTATTTTTGGGGAAGAATAAGAAGCACTTCATTCGGTACTTAGTTGTCTTTCATTCCAACATAAGATCTGCATCTGACGTAGCATTTAGATGTACAAACCCGATTCCAAAAAAGTTGGGACACTGTACAAATTGTGAATAAAAACAGAATGCAATGATGTGGAAGTTTCAAATTTCAATATTTTATTCAGAATACAACATAGATGACATATCAAATGTTTAAACTGTGAAAATGTATCATTTTAAGGGAAAAATAAGTTGATTTTAAATTTCATGGCATCAACACATTATTCTATTGTGAATAAAATATAAGTTTATGAGATTTGTAAATTGTACAAATTGTGAGTAAAAAAGGAATGGAATAGTGTCCCAACTTTTTTGGAATTGGGTTTGTATTTACACAGTTTATGTATCTCAGAGGGGACATGGATGCATTTACACTGCACTTACAGCTGCATAAATAATGTTGTTTTTAACATAAAACGTTGAATAACATGTCGAAATGTGAAATTAAAACCGCCAGTAGGTGACCGCAAGTGACTGTTAATGAGTGAGTCATTGAGATTCAACCGATTCATTCAAACGACTGATTCATTCAGAAACAAAGCATTTGACTGTGTTAATGAGTGAATCACTGAATCATTTATTCAACCGATTCGTTCAAAAAGCTGATTCATTCAATAAGTAAACACCGTCCATTGCTCAGAGACGCAAAACTGTGCTGTGATCTTTGTTTGGAGCTATTTTCGTTGGCAGAATTGAGCAAAAACAAGCAATATTATGTATAAAATGTAAGTCACTCATTGCTTTAATGAACTTGTTTAAAATTATTATTAAATGTGTTCATGCTGATATTTGCAGAAAAACGGTGCTCTTTGTGATATAGATTAAGTTAACTATTAAATTATATAAATATAAAAGCATACAGAAGCATTTTTGCAGTCTACAATTTAGAATGCCCGGAATTTTGAGTTTTAATATACTAATAAATCAACGTGCGTGCACTCTGTGTGTGATTTGGTGATATAGCCTACTTGATAATGTCAGATCGCACATAATTAAAACAACACTTACCATATTATCGAAGATATACTGTATATCGCACACCCAGACTCGACTTGAGTGGAAAATGGATTACCCGCGGTTGTGCGCGCCGCGCACTTGTTTGCTCATGAGCAAAGGTGTTTTTAGGAGTCTAACTTGCAAACGCCAGACCACTGATTCGTCAAACCTGCAGTCTGTGTTTTTCTGACTTCTAACTATTTTGTTGTAAGTAACGAATATGCTTCGGGGAAATGTATCGGAGTAAAAGTATACATTTTAATTAGGAAATGTAGTGGAGTAAACGTAAAAGTTGGCTGAAATATAAAAACTCAAGTAAAGATACTCCCAGAAAAATGCTTAAGTACAGTAATGAAGTATTATTACTTCATTACATTACACCACTGGTATATTCAAGTAAAAAGCCATGCAATTTCCATAGACACACTAGTTATGACCTGTCCTGAAGAGTGAGCTACCATTTTCACTTTGTCTAATCTCTCCATTCAGTCAGGCTGAAGAAGCTATATTCTACACTTTTGTGTAGAACTACATGTGATACGAAGCCATTATTTTATTATTGATGTAGTTGTGCAAATGTCCATAAACTATTGACAGTAGTGTATATATTCACTCTATTTACATTTTTGCCAACTTGTGCACTGAATTTATTTAATACACGAGTTTCACAATTTGAGTTGAATTACTGAAATAAATTAACTTTTCCATGACATTCTAATTTATTGAGATGCACCTGTACTTACTTCACTCTCTTGTAGTGTTGGGAAACAACAACAAAAACCTGTAACCTGAGAAAACTAAAATATACATTATTTTTACCTGCTTAAACATAATCATGTAACCCCAGGAATCAGACACATATATGAAAAAAAATGTCTGTCTAATTAAGTTAAACACATATAATGCATGTTATTAGTAATGCATGTAATTTTCTCAACTTCCAAGCCAGTAGCTGCGTTTGCCTAGGGCATTTTCATAGTGCTGTTAGCTGGAATAAAACAAATGCTGCAAACAAAACATTTATACATGAATCTTGATAATGTGTGTAAAATATTACAGTGACATTTTATATTAGGATTTGTGTTGTACCTGCATATTGATGGGTCATTTTAACTGCCCTTTAACTGCTATCATTTTCTTCACCGGGACTACGTTTACTGTTCGTATTTTATATTATCATTGCATGTTCTAAATATATATATTTTTATATTGTCTGACATCTAGTGCCAACCGGCAAAGTAATTTCTCTTGTTATATGTTGCATTATTGGAAAATGAAATGTAATTTGTTGTCACACTTTGAACTATAATAAGAATGACAATAAACATGATTATAATAAAAAGTATTTATGTTGATTTTAAGGTCTGCGCATTAAGCATCTCCAGGATTTGATCAAAACGGACATTGCAACTAGTGAGATTTCAGTAATTTCTCCATAACACAAAAGATTCTACTGGATTCACCCGTTGAAGGGGAGATATAGAATTGGGTGTAACAAAAAAATTAATAAAAAGGTGGAGATTCTAGAATTTGAAAAGAGGATTTACATCTGGTTCAGACTTTTTCAGGCAAATTTTTCAGTTGTTTTTCTGACTTCAGGGATTCATGTCAGGTTTTTCGCTCCAAAATACAGTCACAGAAAAAATGCAGTGGACTGTTGCCAAGGAGACCATTTATCGGACAGGGCTTTTGTTGAAAAAATTTATTATAATTTACTGGTTAAATACATTTTGTACTGTTGCCCTGTGCATCACATCCCTGAATAATGTAATAAGAAACAAAAACATGATTATTTAAATGCAGTGTAAATACATTTTGCTGTTCTCTGTACCTCAAGACCCCAGAAACGATGTTTGGACATTTGATTCAGTCCTTTTGTTAACAATTAAACCCCTCAGATGCCAGATCTACCAGTTGTGCTATGGGACCCTAAGATAAATTTGACTTAATAATCTTTTAACTAACACTTGGAATATTGAAGCACACTCCCAGTTTAGACAAACAACGTGGTTTCTTTGCAGAGTTTCAAGTCACACACGCCAGGCCCGCTAGTCTTATAGCTGTTGTTTCTGCAGAGGCTCCAGCGTCGCTGAGAATCAATCCAAACATGCCCATGGCAAAGGTGACCTTTAGCAGCCACAGAGCCTGCCTTACAGCTCCAACAACCAAACGCAGGATGAAGGCTATTATCCAGTAGGCCACAACAACCAGAAGGGCCCACTGAGCGACAAAAATCACTCCCTCCGGAGTAACTTCTTGGAAAGGTAGCTTGACTAGATAAAAACATGAAAACATACATGTGAAAATGTGTTTTGGTTTAAATAAATTGAAGCTCTCAAGTATGATTTTTGTACATTTACCATCAATTCCTGTTGATTCCAAGATTTCCGTAACATTTGACCATGACCGGATGACCATGTTAAGGGCGGATGCTACGGCATCTGACAGCCATTTTACACCACTTTGTAGAAACTGATGCCCATAAATAAACAAATACAATATCATTATGTTTTTCAAGAGAAAAGAACTTCCCAGTACAGCAAGCATCATTATGTAGTAAGTTATGTTGCATTAGCTAATTAATCCACGTGGCAAATGACTCTCTTCTGCTTTTCCGAGAACTACTTTCACTTTTCAAAGGTCAATAACCTGGCATTTCAGAGCTCCTCAAGTTCACACAGGTGTTTATCACATTAACTGTTGAATATTGCATATTTGACAACCAGAAAGTTTACAAACATTACACTGAATTACTTTTTTTTAACCTAACAAACTTATTTTTGTCGAATGTCTTGCTTGGTTGCTACTTGGTTAATCATAGAGCCAGCATTAATTATATTAAACAATGGCACAAAAAGTTTAGTATAAACTTGATAGACTAGATTTTTTACAACGTCAGCTCACCTTGAGAGACAGGTCTACTCTCTTTTCACCGATTGTAGAGACCAGGCAACTGTGGGCTTCCTCGGACAAACTTGTGAAAATGGACCGCGCATTTTGGAGTGGACTAGACTGCTCGTCCCATTCGAAAGAGTGACACAACGGTATCAACTGATATGAAACTGAAACAACGCCTGCTTCCTCTTTCCTCTTTCCTCCCTCGAAGGAGCAACCCTGCCGCCTACTGATGACTGAGACTGCGCGGTTACATTATCCAGAAGAAACGCCACACAAATTGATCCCATATGAAAATTGTGAAAGACCATTTTGTAAACGTTTGAAAATGGCAGAAAAAAAACACGTATAAATTTGTGTCCTACCTTTATTATATATATATATATATATATATA